GTGAAATTGATTGTCAATCAGTGTTGCTTCCTAAGTGGACAGTTTGATTTCACAGAAGTTTGATTTACTTGGAGTTATATTGTGTTGTTTAAGTGTTCCCTTTATTTTTTTGAGCAGTGTATGTTCCTGAAGAATAATTCATGTTTCTGTAGCTTCTAAAATCAAAGCAGCCTGGAAGAGTCAGGAATTTTATGGAAGCATTTTACAGCTCTGAGTAATCATGGAAAATGTTTTCCAGACAGTTTTTTGTATCCCATTATCAAAAAGTTTCCTCCATCCTTGGTGTTTCTTTGTTCTCATGCATAGACCCTGGAGGAGAAATGTTGTGGGAAGCTGGAGAGAATCGCCTTACCTGTCTTCCAGCCCAGCACTCCAGACCCAGCGCCGGCCTCAGACCAGATTCAGCGACTCCCCTCTGAGGGGTCGGGCGACGCAGAGAAGCTGAAGGAGCCGAGCACTGCTCAGAGTCACACACCTGGAGACACCAGCCTCAGCCTGGCTCTCAGTCTGGGCCAGTCCACAGATAGCCTGGGGCCCTACGGGGACGGAGACGGGGCCGAAAACCAAGTCCAACCAAAGAGGCCAAGCCTCATTGACCGTCAGCCCTCCACGGTGGAGTATCTCCCTGGTATGACGCACTCTGCATGTCCTAAAGGCCTCCTCCCAAAGTTCTCAAGCTGGTCCCTGCTGAAACTGGGCTCAGCAAAGTCCTACAACTGCCATACTGGCTTGGAGCAGCCAAGCTTTCTCCCGGGTTCTTCCTTCCTCCTGCCGTGGGACTTGGTAATCCGTTCCCGATCGGAGGAGGACGCAGGACTCATGGAGTCTTTGGATGGAGGCTCGTCGTCTTGGCCGGTCCCCAACAAGAGCCTGGTGGGGAAGCGGGGAAGTGCCGGAGGCCTCGGCAGGGGTCGCAGGAGGGACGACATGGCTCGGGTGTTCGTGGGGTTTGAGTATGAAGACAGCAGGGGGAGACGCTTCATTAGCAGTGGGCCTGATAAAATAGTGAAGGCCCTGGGGCCAGGGGGTGCCAAAGATCCCGCCACCAGAGTGCTGAACACCGACATGCCACTGTACGTCCCGTCCCCTTCCCAGGGTCGAGGCCTGAAGCCGCACTTCGCTCAACTGGCTCGTCTTTTCATCGTCGTGCCTGATACTCCGCTGGAGATAACCCTCAACCCCCAGGTAAACAGCTCCAGCTCATCTGTCATTGTACGGGAAGCCAACAGGGCCACTTTTTAGTTTTTCTTCTATTTTAACACAGATATGATTAAAATTGATGCCACTGAAGTACTTTTTTAGAGGTCTTTAGTAAGACATGATTGAAAGGGGCTTAAAAAATGCCACTTCTCTAAGTTCCATTTAAAACATGGCTTTATTAAGATTGAACCTCTTTTTACAAACCTTTTCAACAACATGCTCAATATTTCGCTGTTTCCAGGTACAGCCCGGTCCTCCTCCTTGCCCGATCTTCCACCCAGAGCAGACAGAGGTGGTGTTGCCGCCTGATGGGTTCTGGGTGCTGCGGTTTCCATATTCCTACGCCACAGAGCGTGGCCCCTGTTTCCCCCCTAAAGAGAACCAACCCCTCAGCAACTACAAGGTGCTGCGTGGCATCCTGAGGGCCACCACGGCCAACCCCGTGCCACAGTGATCTGCTGCTCTAACAGTCAAGCACACAGAAACTTCTCCTTTTCATTTTTAGATGGATTAAAGCATCATAATTTCTGTGTATACCACCAAGTTGAAAGATGGGACTTTAAAATGCTCTGTTGAGCCATCATGGCCAATGCTCCTGGGACTTTAAATACTTGTCTTTTTTCTGTAGTAATTTAAAAAACACTGCATTTTCTTCAATCAATGGGAAATCTTATGTGAGATGTTAGAATAAAGCAAATAATAGTAGACAGTAGGGGGCGTTGTGGGTGCATGTTGTTCAATCAGGGATTCCTGTTGATACCTTCACTGGCTCACTAACTGCTGTAGGCTTCAGATTATTCAAAACTTGGACTGAATTTAATATAAACACTTAAATCACTGTCATTAATGTGTTTAAAAGTGTTTTTATTTTTCCTTTCTGTACATTTAAAGCAAAGCCAACCAACTTTGTGCAGCAGGGCCGATTTTTCAGTTTGTTTACACTGATTACTGGAGTACATTATGTTCTTGTTTCTGTAAATAAATACACAAGTTTTAATTATCAGTTGGAGGTGTATTTTGTCAGTGACAGTTTAAATGTTGAACTCCTCTCAATTCTACAAGAGAGAGAAGAAGAGATGGTCTGTTTGGTGCTGTTAATTACATGTTTTGTCCAGTAGATGGACCCACAGATTTAGACCTCCAAGCAAGGCCTTGGTGTTTTCAGCTCTCCAAAGCAGTGGTCCCCAACCCTGATTTGAGTCCAATATCCTGCAACATCTGATTCAGATGATGCCTCCTCAGCATGCGGTCAAGTTCTGCAGAAACCGGTCAAACATGCATGAAGTTGTGCTCTGGGGATCACTGCCTTTTCATGGCAGTTATATCTAGGCCCTAATATGTGGTGTGCTGAGCACAAACATCAGAGAAATAATAAAACATAGCAGCTGGCATGGCGGCAAAATGTCTAAAGCCCAGCACTGTCTTCAAAAATTGTTTGAGTCAATACAGCTCTAGTGCTTTCCAAAGTCATTAATAGTACCAGCTTGAAGACTGATGAGGGAGATTTATAAAATGGTAAATTGACTGAACTTATTCAGTCAGATTCAGCTCTAAAGCTTCTCATGTTATTTAGCATGGACCTTCAATCAGAAACTTGCAGCAAAGCTTTGAACACCGGCCAACAACTCCTTCGAGTCACATTAAAGTCTGGGTGTTAACATTTTTCGTTAAAAGCTATCATTTGGATATTACAATTTATTGTCCATCCACCCATCGTCTATAAACCCTTGTCCTTGCAGGGTAACGGGGGGCTGGTACCTATCTCCAGTGGCCTTTGGGTGAGAGGCGAGGTTCACCCTTAACAGGTCGCCAGTCCATCACAGGGCAACAAAGAGACACACAACCAAGCCTAAGGGCAATTTTTAGAGAGGCTAATTCACATAACAGTCATGTTTTGGACTGGTGGAGGAAGCCAGAGTGCCCAGAGAGAACCCTTGCATGCATGGGGAGAACAAGCAAGCTCCATGCAGAAGGACCCCTGGCTGGGATTCAAACCCAGGTCCTTCATGCTACAAGGCAACATTGCTACCAACTGTGCCACCATGCAGCTGCATGGATAGGAATTTATGTAACTTTGTAACATGTAAATGTCACAGTGTTAAATTTTAATGTTTAAATTTTCATTTGGACGAAAAGAATTCAGATAGGATTTTGTGAGAAACGTCCAGACCGTATCACTCGGTGCAATGCAGAAACAAAGCACGATTTATTTTCATGTCCAGGTGAATGTTGCAGTGCTTAGCTCTCTGGCTTTCCTAAGAAAAGAACATTTCTGGTACAAAGTTAGGCTGCAAAACTGTTGAAAAAGACCAGAAAGTCACTTTTATTGTTATTTAAACATTAATGGTTTTAGTCTATCCTAACCCATCCAGACCCCTTTGGTCTTCTAAGAAAGGTCTCCAGAAGGTGGTGGAGCCTTGGTTTTGAGACAGAGCAGAATTTTAATCTATTTATGTAAGCAGTTATGTTGTTTTTATATTTTCATCTGTCAGACCTTTAATTTGGTCTTAACTTTCTTTCATTTCTGTTTTTAACTTGACTTTAACCTGTACTTTAGAGTTCATCATAAATTAAAAGCATTTTTAGGTTTATTTTATGTTCGAATTTTGGTGATTTTTGAATTCTGATATTTTTGAAGTTTTTATTTTCCTCTTTAATAGTAATAGTAATGCAACTTTCAGTTTCCATAATATTTTTCATCTATTTCTCTAATAAATATAGTTTTATTTATGTAGTTCCATTGTATTTGGTGGGAGTTTTGTTTTCATTTGCTTTTAACCTTTGTTTAGCACCTTGTGTTACAGTATTCTGTATAAAACTGAATCACACAGAAACAGAACAGAAGCGGTCAAACGTAAATTAGGCACTAATCGCCCAGGAAACACGGTTTTATGTAGGATGTAGAAAGTTGGTGTTGAAGCCTTGCCTTCCCAATGCCAGCAGCCTGTTAATTACTGGAGGAACTTTTATCCTGACGGCTGACTGGACTGTCTCTTTCCGGTACCAAAGTAAACTCACCCATCAGTCCTCAATGACTGTAGACCTGTTGCCCTGACACCCCACACAATGAAGGTCCTAGAGAGACTCCTGTTGATCCACCTAAATACGCAAACAATAAACCATCAGGACCAACTTCAGTTTGCTTACTGCTGTGGAGTTGGAGTTGAAGATGCCATCATACACCTGCTTCAACAAACCCACTGTCATCTGGACAAAGCCAGCAGCACTGTGAGGATCATGTTCTTTGATTTCTCCAGAGCATTTAACACAATCCAACCTGATTTGCTTTGTCAGAAACTCCAGAAGATTCAGGTGGAGGACTCAACAATCTCCTGGATCAAAGACTACCTGACAAACAGACCACAGTTTGTGAGACTGAAGGGTTGTGAATCTAACCAGGTAGTCAGCAGCACAGGAGCACCACAGGGGACTGTACTCTCACCATTCCTCTTCACTCTGTACACCTCAGACTTCCAGTACAAGACAGACTCCTGTCATCTGCAGAAATACTCGGATGATTCTGCTGTCGTGGGGTGGATCAGAGATGGACAAGAAGATGAGTACAGGAAGGTGGTGGACCGCTTTGTGGCATGGTGTGGAAACAATTATCTCATTTTGAAAGTGACTAAAACAAAGGAGATGATTGTAGATTTTAAGAGAAACAGGAATAGGTCAAAAACTATTTCCATCATGGGAGAAGAA